CTTGGGAGGCTGAAAACAGAAGAATCACTATAAGTCTGATCTACGTAGTAAGACCCTGTAGACCCTGTGGACCCTGTGCTAAATACATTAAAAAAAAATACAAGAGATAATAGCTGAGGTCAGATGGTGGACCATGCCTGACTGGCAAAGGACCCCAGAACAACAGCAGGGGCATTTATTTATACTTTTGCAAAGTTGCAAGATACAAGGTTACCTACCAACTAATAGGTGGCAAGGTCCAGGCAGGAAGACTGAGGTAGCTTGACTGCTTTAGGCAACAAGCCCTCATCCTGCTCTCCCACATACGCTCAATTTTCAGTTTCAGTGGCTCCCAACAATAATTGATGAATTATTAATATAGTGTTCACTGAAGCCTGTAGTTCCCAGGGGTTTCATTCTCTTATAGTACTAAGGATTGAACCCACAAACACCTTACCACTGTGCATAGACCCATTTTAAATCTTTTTTTTGAGACAGTATCTCACTAAATTGCAAGACAATTACACTCTTTTTGAACTTGTGATCTTCCTGCCCCAGCCTCCCACGTAGTCGGGATTATAGGCATGCACCTTCCCGGCCCTAAAACTCCCTGGTCTTCCACCCATTCCTCTCTCCCTGCATTCCCTGGAAACCACAGGCCTCCTGGGCACTGCCATGGCTCTAAGTTTTATAGAATGCCATATATTTGTTTTTTGGGTTTTGTTTGTTTGTTTGTTTTGGCGGAACCGGGGATCAAACTCAGGCCCTTGCGCTTACAAGGGAAGCGCTTATTCTGCTAAGCCATCTCCTCAGCCCAAATGCCATATATTTGGAATCAGACAGTTAGCTTTCAACAGCTTTTACCCAGAAATATGCATTTAAGATTTCTTTTTGGTTTTGTTCTTTTGGCTATTCATCTGTCTTATTTGTTAAGATGGGATCTTGCTACTTAGTCCAGACTAGCCTGGAACTTGGATCCTCCTGCCTCTGCCTCCTGCAATTTGGGGTTATAAGTGTACACCCCCATACTCAGCAAGATTGCTTTGTCTTTCCATAGGTCAGTTATTCTATTTTTTTTGGTGGAACCGGGGATTGAACTCAGGTCCTTGTGCTTGCCAGGGCCACTGAGCCATCTCCCCCGCCCCAGGTCAGTTATTCTTGACAATGATGATATTCCATTGTCAAGATCCTCCAGTTTGTATGTTCCTTTACCTACTGAAAAATACCTTGTTTACTTCCATATTTTGGCAATTATGAATAGAGCTGCTATAAAGAAAAGGCACCTGTCTTTTTGAGACAAGGTTTAACTGTGCAGTTCAGACTACCCTTGAACTCACTTTGAAGCCTAGGCTGGCCTCAAACTCAGAACAGTCCTCCTGCCTCAGGCTCCCGAGTGCTGGGATCACAGGTGTGCACCACCACGTAAGTGGTGGTCATAAATTTTATTTTGGAACAATCATGCACATACAGAAAGGTTGTGAGAATAGTGCAAAGAAATGCCATTTAGACCCACAGGCCACGTTGAAGTTCTATGAGTTGTCCTAGTTATGTTCTTGTTACTGATTTTTCTGTTTGTTTTCATTTTTTGTTTTTGTCTTTATCAGACACGCTGTCACTATGTAGCTCAGGCTGGCTTTGAACTTGCAGGAATCCTCCTGCCTCGGCCTACTGAGTGCTGGTACTAATGGGGTATCCACCACCCCCAGAAATTTACCCATTTTTTAAAAAACTTTTTTAGGGAACAGGGAGATGGTTCAAGAGAATAAGCGCTTGCCTGGCAAACACAAGGGCCTCAGTTCGATCCCCGGTTCCCCCCCCACACACAATAATTTACTCATTTTTATGGCCACATTCTGTTCCAATGTGTGATTATTGCCAGAATTTCTTTACCTATCTTTGGTGTTAATGGTCATGTGGCTTATGTCTAGGTTGCTGCTTATATTTGTTGTTTTGAGATTAAAACATTATTTTTATGAACTACTAAAAATATTCCTTTACATGTTCTATAGAAGTTTCCTTGGAATAAAAGGAATTTTTCCAAAGTGTCTTACCAACTTACATTACTACCTGCAATATAGAGGAATCCCTCTTGGAGCATGTCCTCTCTAATATCTAGAAATGATAGACATTTTTGCCAGTCTTGTAGGTGTAAAATACTATGTTCACTATGGTTTTTTTCCCCCCAACCCTAACCCTAACCTTAAACCATATTTTTATTTTATATCATTGTGATCATTAGTGAAAGGAGCCTTTTAAAAAAAAAATTTAATTTCTTTTTTGACTTAAAAAAGTTACTAGTACCTGTGTCTCTGGGTGTAGTGACGCACTGCAAAAATAACAGCATTTAGGCTGAGTCAGAATGACTGCCAATTTGAGGCCAGTCTGCACTACACAGTGAGACCCTGTCTCAAAATATATATAAATATGGAGAGACAGAGACAGAGACAGAGACTGACTTTGTGTTTTGTTTTCTGGGAAGGTATTTATTTATTCATGATTTTTAAAAAAGAGTCTCTAGGTAGCTAAAAGCCTGGCAGGAAGGCATTTATTTTATTTTTTTATGTATTTGGTAGAGTCTCACTATGCAGCTTGAGTTCGTAGTGATCCTCCGGTTTTCAGCCTCCCCAGCTCTGGGATTACAGGTGTGCACCACCACGCCCGGACTCGGTCACCAGCTCAGCGCGCCCAGGGGGTAGGGCTGGCGCAGCATGTGGTGCGGGGGATCGAACCCTGGTCTTTGAGCTTGCTTAAGCAAGTGCTTAGTCTGCTACGCTATCTTGCCAGCCTTGAAAGGCTTTCATTTTTTTTCTTTTTGTTACTGGGGATTGAACTCGGGATCTTGCGTTTGCCAGGCAAGCGCTTTTTCCACTGAGCTATTTCCCCAGCCCCAAGGCTTTTATTTATAGGAAGCTTCTCAAACATGTTTTTTCTGTCAGGGATGGTGGTACATGACTATAATCCCAGCACTCTGGAAATTCAAGGCAGAAGCGTTGCAAGCTGTCCTGGTTACTTTTCTCTCCTTGCGGGGGAGGAAGCACCAGTGCCCAAAAATTAAGGAAGGAAAGGTTTACTTAGCTCACAGTTTATAGAGCTCACAGCTGGTTCCAAGGCAGGATGGCATAGAACAGGCACAATAGTTCAACACATTGGTAGAAGACAGTAAAAACAGCAAGAGCAAAAGGGGGTGAAGCAAGAGCAAAAGGGGGTGAAGCAAGAGCAGGCCTCTTCCCTCGCTCATATCGCATGCAGGCTGCCAGCACCTGGGCTGGTGTAGCGCTCAGATCATCTCCCTGCCCTCCTCTTGCACACGGTGAAGGTGTTTCCAAAGTGAGCACCCTGGCTCCCTGCTGAGTTGCTTAGTTAAACTCCTAAACTCAAGCTGACACAGTGCATCAACCATTAAGCAGACTCAAGCTCAGCCTGAGCATTTGAGCAACTTAACATGACTCTGTCTCAAAATAAAAAGAGTAGGGGCCGGGAGATGGCTCAGCAGAATAAGCACTTGCCTGGCAAGTGCAAGGGTCTGAGTTCAATCCCCGGTTCAGCCAAAATAAATAAATAAATAAAAAGAGCTAGAGATGTGACCTCAAGGTCAATCCCCAGTAATGAAAAACTATATAATATACACATAGAAAAAATATACATGTATTCTATATGCTGATTGTTTATAGCTAGTGTGGGAAATATCTTTCTGTAGGTTGCCTTTTCACATTCTTTCTGTTCTTTCATTGGAAAAGAGTAATTTCATAAAATCATTCTTATGTTTTACACTTATTTAAAATATACAGAGGAAGGCTTTTATTATTGTGTGTTTTTGTTTTGCTTTGAGACAAGGTCACACTGTAGCCCAGGATGGCCGAGAATCTGCAATGATCCTCCTGCCTCAGCTTCCCGAGTACTGGGGCTGTGGGCATTCACCTCCATGCTTTTAGTGTGTTTTTGTTTTGTCACTCATTTGTTTTCTAGATGGTCAGACTTCATTGTGGCAGAGCTGCACATGCACACAAGACGCTTCATCAGCCCATCACTCCCTTCTCCCACCTCGCCGCTAGTCCACACGTGGGTGGGGATTTCAGTGTGTAAAATAACCTAGTGCCACCTTCTCCTTCTTTGCTGTGCCACCACCTCTGCGTTGAGTTAGCTTGGAGCCAGGATTTATCTTTGGTCTGTTTGTTTTGGTTTTGTTTTTGTGGTACAGAGGATTGAACTCAGTATCCTGAGCTTGCCAGGCAGGCGCTTATTCTGCTGAGCTATCTTCCCAGCCCTTCTAATTTGCTTCATTTGCATCTTCCTTTTACTGGTGTTTTTTATATATAAATGGTATAAATCCATGTTGATAAATTGGAATCCAATTTCAGGTCACACTAGCAAATGTATCTAGAAATAATTTAAAATCCTTGATTGATCCTTGATCTGATTTTTTTTCTTTTTTCTTTCTTTCTTTCTTTTTTTTTTTTTGTATTTTAGGGAAGGGTCTACAGGGTGTTCAGGGTCTCACTACTAGATTGGAAACATAGTGATGAGCCTGTTTACAGCCTCCCAAGAGCTGGGATTATAGGAGTACACCACCAGGCCCAGTCTCATTCACCGGCTCAGTGTGCCCCAGGGGCGGGGCCGGCATGGCAGGCTTGGGGATCGAACACCAGGCCCCTGTGTCTGCTTGCAGACACTTTAATCTTCTGAGCTATTTGGCTGGCCCTTGATCATGTCTTTCTACCCCCGCTTCCTCTTGACTTTAGGGCCACCAGCTTTTGTGTGTGTCTAGAAAGTAGGTCCAGAGAGGGCAACCAGAGGAATACGGGCTCTTCAGCTGGGAGATAACATGAGTATAGCTGATTACTAACACTGGGCTACACAGGGATGTTATAAGAAGGAAGTGGAAGGGCCAGGGAGATGGCTCAGTGGAATAAGCGTGTCCCTGGCAAGTGCAAGGACCTGAGTTCAATCCCCAGTTCCAAACAAAAAAAGAAAAAAAAAGAAGGAAGTGGACCCTACATTGTTCCTATCTGTTAAAGAAGGAAGGATGGTGTTTGGAAGTAGAAAGAAAATCCTTACCCGAAGAATGGCCAAGACCCAGGCTCCCACTCAGAACCTCTCAGAGGGCAGACCAGACAAGCAGCTCTGGGGAGCAGACAGTGGTTCTCCTGCCGCCAGGCAGTGGTCCCAACAGTTCCATGATTCTGTGATGTCACTGAAGAGGGAAGAATGGGCTCCAGACGCTCCCATCTCTCCTCCCCTGGATTACTGTAGTTTTTGGGGTGAGGGGAGGTGACCTGTGTGACCACTGCAACCCAGCTGTCTCCCCTCTGGCTGGCCACCTCAGCCCCCACCACACAGATGGAGAGAAATTAGCCAGTGTGAGTCCCCCCATTGCAACAAGTGGGGTGTCTCAGCGAGGGTCGCCTGACAGCACAGTGGCAATGGAAAGAGCCTTTTATTCTTCCCTTTCCAGAAACCTCACAGAAGAGAACTCACTTCAAATCGAGCTGGAAGACACCATCTGGACGGCCCGTGAGCATGGACGTGTCTTTAGAAGCGAATCTTCCCGCCTTTGAAAGCACCACCGTCACTTTCTTCATCGTCCTTCTAATTTGCTTCATTTGCATCTTCCTTTTACTGGTGTTTTTTTTATATAAATGGTATAAATCCATGTTGATAAATTGGAATCCAATTTCAGGTTACACTAGCAAATGTATCTAGAAATAATTTAAAACAATCAATAACACAGCAATTGTCTACTTTTTCCATTTCAGGGTTTTAAAAATGCTAGTTTCCTGTTCAAAAGCAAAATTCCCACCGCACACCCTAGACTCATGGCCACTCTTCCTATTGTGAATTGTTTGCATGTTCGTTTTCAGTTTCCAAGACAAAAAAGATGAAGTGGACGAAAAAAGTCCTTGTCTAGGTGCTGACGGAGGTGAAGACTGCTCCCCTTTACCTGCTGATGAGGACACCAACGACGCAGGAGACCAGGAAAAGTGAGTGCCTGCGGGCGCCGCGGGGAGGCCGAGTGTGGTGCATGGGCTTTTACATTTGCTCACTGGTTTCCCAGGAATCTAGTGCACGTCATAGACTTGAATGCACCCGCGAGACCTGGCATCCTCGTCCAGAGACGGAATAAGCAAGTGGTGTCAGCCTCAGGAAACACAAAGGACGAGGAGGCAGAGAGAGAGGACGAGACAAAAGACAGGCAAAAGCCTGCCGAAGCTGGAGACATGAATCAAGAGGTAAGGGGCTTTTCTACTTTCAACAGGCAGGCTGTCGTTTATATTTGATTGGGAAGCAGGAAAACTACTCAGCTAAGGGTGGTGTCACTTGTAAGTTAAGTTTGTTCCAGGAATGAGCCCAGTATCCAGTCATTTAAGCTATTTTTGTAGGCCTGGGGTATTAAACGGGCTACCTATGCCAAGCCTAGAGTGTGCTCATGCTTCATGCTGACAGCTGCAGTTTCCTTAATTCCCCTTGGTTTTGTTTCTGTTAGGCTCCTGGGATCTTGGAGCTCTAAGAGACTTCCCAGGCCACCTAGTGACACAAATTTCTCGGATGAGAAAGTATGACAGATTTTTCACTCCTCACTGAAGCCAAGCCCAGGGCTAGTCCCCACGACCCTGCTCTGATGCTCCGGCCCCAGCACCACACAAACACACAAACACTTCCAGGACCTTTGCAGGCTTGTGTCCAAGGCCCCAAATAACAGGCAGGGGCCCTCCTCACACAGCCAGGCCTACCCAGGACAGTGGTCCATGTGGCTCTTGGCTTTGCCTCCTTTACAGAGAGACTTAACATGAATCATCAAATAACATTTGACTGTGTTATTGTAGGCTCCTACAACCACAGGAATATTTAAAAGGGAGACAGCTCAGAAACATAGCGCCTGCCTGGCAAGTGCAAGGTCCTGAGTTTGATTCCCAGTAACAAAGAAGAAAAGAAAAGAAATATTTAAATGTGATGATGATGGGTCCCCATTGCTGTCCTATAGCAGTCTCAAAATACAAACCTTTTGGTTTGTTGTTCATAATGTACACAGAACCTATATTTTAAAAAGAGCTTGTTATGTTCATAAACTGATCCTATGTACTGTATCCCGTTTTCTTACAGAGTGAAAATTTGCAGGAAGCACTCCTATCTTCAGTAAGCGAAAGCCAAAAAAGACCTTTGAAAGGAGTGACATTTTCTAAGGAGGTAATTGTTGTGGATCTTGGAAATGAACACCCTGCACCTCAAAGATACGCTCAACAACACAAAGAGAGAAAGCGAAGCCACAAAAGGAACAAGACTAAAGGAAACACAAACGTTGAATAGCAGTGGAGTGAGTGAGGGTGCCAAGGCATGCTGAAACTGCGAAACACAATGATGGAATGAAGCAAATACAGATGCCTCAGACAGTGCACCACACGCAGAACTTCATACGTGAAATACTCCGAGTTTGAATATAGATTTAAAAAACCTGAAAGCTGAGTTCAACAAATTGTAATAGTTTGTCTACTCACTGTTCAAACATGTAAATAAAGTTTTTTTTATTTTGGTGCAGGTATCTGTAAGATAAATTATATTCAAGGGGCAATTTCCCACTGAGGGCCAACATTTCTAAAAATGTATTTTAGGACAGGGTCTACAGGGCGCACAGGGTCTCACTACGTAGACTGGACTCGGTGATTCTCCTGTTTTCAGCCTCCCAAGTGCTGGGATTACAGGCGCGCCCCACCGCGCCCAGTCTCAATCACTGTCTCAGTGCCCTGGGGGCGGGGCTGGCACAGCACGCTGGGGGTCAAACCCCAGCCACTGCATTCTGCCTAAGCAGGCGCTTTAGTCCGCTGAGCAATCTGGCCTGTGGGCTACTTCTAAGACAGTATAAAGCAAAAAATAAAACAAACAATATTGGCATACCATAAAAAAACCAGTAAAAGTTTCAACTATATCACCCTTAACAATAGAAAAGACATTCACAACAACAGTATGACACAAAATTATAGCAAATACATATAGTAAATACCTAATAAATGCGATAAGTATACTACCATTAACAATAAAAATAGGGGGGTTGGGGAGATGGCTCAGTAGAATAATCACTTGCCTGGCAAGTGCAAGGGCCTGAGTTCAATCCCCGGTTCCACAAAATAAATAAATAAATAAATAAATAAATAAATAAATAAAATTCATAATAACAGCAAATGAGCCAACTAAACAGCTAGAAATTATTAAGGGTTAACAGTAACAATGAAAATGGAGGTATTGGGAAAAGGGAAAAAATTAAAGAGTAAAGTTGGAAGAAGAAATGAAAGATAAAAAGGAGAGAGAAAAGTGAGTTAAAAAGTAAAAGCAAGTTCATAGAATTAGGTAAAAGTAACAGAAAAAAAAGAAGGAGGGGGCATGATGGTACACACCGGGGCTCTGCTGAGATCCAGGCCAGCCTGAGCCAGGCTGTGGGGGCTGAGTGCTTGGCTCACGGGACACTCTCAATCTAATTCTGAGGACCAAATTTTCTATGCTGCAACCATTTGGAACATGGTGCAGACATCGCTGTTCTAGAACATAATACTCTGTGGCTTTCTTCTCAGAGCAAAGTCTTTCACTTGTGCAGTTCTGAGGCTGTAAAGGGTGGAGTCCCACTGCTTCTTGTGATGTTCTCAGGCCATCTTTTCTGTTCTCCTGTTCCTTCTCAGCAGTTGAGATCTCCTCAACCCTATTTTTGTAGTTCACAGCTTTACTGGAGCTTCCTTTTTGGCAAAACTCACATTTTAAATCATCCTTCTGGGCTCTTTGCACTTGATACTCAATATAGATCTGGCTAAAAGCTCCCAACAAACAGCTATCCCACTGCTTCAATATTTGACTGCCTTGAAATTTCTTCTGCCAGATTAATTATTCTGCTGCCCTTAATCTTAGTCTCAGGCAAAATCTCTGGATAGGAGCAAAATGCAGACAAACTTTATATCAAGCCATAACAACCAATGGCTGGGCCTGGGGAGATGGCTCAGTAGAATAAGTGCTTGCTTGGCAAGCGAAAGGGCCTGAGTTCAATCCCCAGTTTTGAAAAAAAAGAGAGAGAGAAAGAGTACAAATTTACTGGGGCCGGGGAAATGGCTCAGTGGAATAAGTGCTTCCCTGTCAAGTGCAAGGGCCTGAGTTCAATCCCTGGTTCTGGAACAATAAACCCCCAAAACCAAAAACCAACCAATGGCTGGAGTTCAACAACCAACACAGTCCTTCTTTGCAGCAGAAAGCTTCTGAACCTGGTCTTTACTGGCAGGATTTCTATCAGTCTTCTGGTCTTCTAAGCTCTGACCAAAGTCTCCCATACAGAACAACCTAAGGCATTCTAGACCTACTTTTTTTTTTTTTTTTTTAATGAGGATTGGTGTGAGTTTAAGGCCACCTGGACAAAATAGTGCCTTCAAGGCCAGCCTGGGCTATATACTGTGTGCACCTGTCTCAAAAAGCAAAAGTGGGGGTGGGAGAAAAAAGAGGAAGAAGAAGGAAGGGCAGATGTGTGGGGGGAGAAAAAGAAAAGAAAAGGAAAAAGAAAAAGAAAGGTAGGTGAGACCAGGTCCCAGGCAGAGGGAAGCAAGACCATAGAAGAGCCCTCAGCGCAGGGATGTGACCCTGGATCTGCCCTATGCAGGAAGAAACCCACTTCAGACACCAGCACCACAGAGATCAGCAGTCCCTGGTCACCTCTGTGGTCCTTGGGACCTCAACTGGGTCCACTTCCATCACCAGTAGCACTGAAGCCACCAGGCCACCAAGCCACCATCATCATGAAGGTAATGAAGATTCACGCCCTAAGAAGTTAGTCTCCTGGGGTGAGCTGGTGCTGCCCAGAGAACAGACCCTGATCACTGTGAAAAGCATTTGTGCCTGGTATGCGCTCCATAAATACAAGCTGTGAGCACGAATAATAAGGATCAAGTGCCCAACACCTAGTTGCTCAGTAAATGGCAGCTCCCTGGACTCAGAGTTGGAGGCAGTTGGCAGCCCCCATGCCATCCCAGAGTCACCTGCCTGTGGACAGAAGACAAGCTGCAGGTCTCTAAACCTAACCTTGTGGCACACAGATGGGAAAACTGAGGCCCAGAGGGGAAGGACTGGCTCAAAGTCAGAAGCAAGATCTGTCTGCAGGACATGGGTTGCTCAAGATAAACTCATCCAACCCTGGCATGGGGGGTTACAGTGTGGGATTCGGGCAGAGGCCCCCATAATCCAGGAGAGGCAGCATCCCCAAGGGGAGGCCAGGATGGGTCTCTAAGGAGGATACCTTGTGTGGGGTCCTGGACAGGGAAGAGTCAGATGGGTTTCCAGAGCCCTTGGCAATGAAGTAGCAGGGACCACTTGTATTCCCTAGAACTCAGCCCCCACGTTGGTCTGGTCCTTCTGGCCACCTCCTCACAAGACCCTGCATCCTCTCCTCTCACCCTGCACCACACTCTCTCATTCTGTGAGGCTCTACAGCTGGGAAATGGGGTTCACACCAGACTCAGGTGACCCTAAAGCCTCTTTGGCCTCTCCCAGGTGACGTCCTTCTCTTGTACTGCCTGCTTCCCAAGTCACTTCCTCGAGAAGACTTGGCTTCCAAAGGCCTGGGCAGCCACTCCCTAAGGGTGGTGATGTCAAGGCCAAGGCTGGAACACTGGTACCATCCTAAAGGAAGCCAGTGGCCTTCTGCTTGCTGTAAATCTGCCTTTAATCTCGCTTCCTGTTTTCTGCCCTGCATGTCTGAGCATCAAACAACTTCATGCCAGTTTCTCTAAACTGTCAACTCTGCCAGAGAGGTAGGAGGGAAAGGTGAGGGAGGTGGCCTGGGAGGGAGCAGGGGCCATTGCTTGGGAGCTCTGGGTGCATCCTCAGGACCCCCGTGTTGTCTCCAGGTCCCATGCCCAGCCTTTCTCTTCTTCAAGTCCCTAGGCAGGCAGCCTGGCCTGGGTGACCTTATGTTTAGTCCTGAAAGCAGATCTGACATCGCCTGTTTCATGGGTGGCTGGGATTCAGCTTGAAGATCAAGTTCCTGGGTGCCATCCCAGCCTATCCTTTCCTCCTTTCTCTGTCTCCCCTTGAGGATCCCAGCTGGCTTCTCAGGAGGCCTCAATCCCTACGGGAGCTGTGCCTGGCTCCCCTGTGCCTACCTACTGCTGCCCCCTGCCCCCACAACCACCATGATCACCCCTGCTGGGAACCACATGACAGCCTCTTGCTGGCCTTCTACCTTCACCACTTGCTGGTTCCACCCACCCTCATGGAGAATCTCTCCCCAACATTCAATATACCTCTGGCCCACAACAACTGGAGGCCTACACTGCTCTCTGCTGCCTGGCCTCCCAGCACTACTCTTTCAGGTGACATCTGTGAACCTTTTCAATCTCTTCTCACAAGCCATTCCCAAAGGCTCTTGAACCATATGGTCAGGTATAGTCGTAGCAATGACCCCACTCCTGGTACCAAATTCTGTCTCATTTACTTTTCTTTCCTTTATACTCTAAGCAGGTTTCCACCCCCTACAGTAGGTGTTGCACTCACAGTCTCCATGCCCTCCTCTTTCACAAGATGAGGACATTTACAAAGTGAGGATGCTGGCTCCCTGCTGAGTTGTTTCATTAAATTTTTGAACTTCTTAAATTGACATAGTGTATCAACCATTACAATCTCCCATCCAGACAGTATGATGGTATGTCCCCAGAAATCCTGAATTGTGGCTATTCTCTGACTTCTGATTCTCAGAGTAAACAATTACTCTCTCCTAAGAATAGCTCCTTTTCTTTTTCTCTCTCTTTCTTTTTTGCAGAACTAGGGATTGAACTCAGACCCTTGCGCTTGCCAGGGAAGCACTTATTCTACTGAGCCATCTCCCCAACCCAAGAATAACTCCTTATTAATCACTCTTATACTCTAGATTTCTCCTCCAACTCTAGCCTGCCTTATGGAGTCTTTTTTTTTTTTTTTTTTTTTTCTTTTCTATATTTTTTCTATTTTTTTCTTTCTCTTTCTCTTTCTTCTTTCTTCTTTCTTTCTCTTTCTTTAACTGCTTTACTTCCAAAAAATGGTAGAAGGTTTTTTTTTTTTTTTTTTTTTTTTTTTTTGTGGGTTCAGATCCTCTTCCTAGTATCTGGGGTTAGGGCTCCAGGCTGCTTCCTTCTTTTCTCTGCATCGTCTTCCATTTCTCCAATTTTTCTGTGATTTCTAATTTTCCTGTCAGCTCTTTCTTGGTTCCATGTACTCTTGTTCTCTTCACTACATTTTTGTTTTCCAGGTGGGGTTCAAACAGTAAATATTTTAAAAAATGACAAGGTAAAAAATTTTGGTCTATAGGGAGAGCAACTTGTGGGAAGGAAGATACTGTAAGCAGTGGATAAAGATTGATTTATAAAACTGATAAACAAGATAGTCTTTTTTTTTTTTTTTT